GCATAGTATAAGTAAATCAATATGAGGTTGTGAAAATATCCAAGACCTGGGTCACAGGTGTGCCCTCCGTTTCTGGATTCCATCTCTATTTATCTCTATATATAGTCAAGTTGACAACAGGAATTGTCAGCAAAGGTATGAGAGAATAATAAATATTTTCTTCATAAATTTTATAAAACATAACAGAATGATATTATAACAAAAAATATAGGAGCAAAGATGCTCAACATAATTGTGCTTATTTGAAGCAAATGGGCTGGCGATATAGCTTAACAATTGAAACAGTTACCTAGCTCATAAGCACTGTTGGGATTGAGTGTCAACATTGCAAAAGAAGACATGGAAAGAAAACAAACCCTAACAGAAGTGATGCAAATGAATGGTACTAATACTGATAGGCCCTCACAAGTTGCATGTCTTATTTATAAATCTACATTAATAAGATCTTCATGAATATTACATAATTCAAATTATGGAATATTTGAAGAAGTCACTCTAAACATTGTTAGAAAAGGTACATACATAAAAACTGTATAAATAGATAAGATTGGACAAATATCCAAGTGTTTACAGAAAAGACAAAATAACATGAGTAAAAGAATCATATTAAAAAGCCACACATATTTATATGGCATATTTATAAATTTACTTATATTTATATAATTTAAATAGCATCAAGAATAATTACCTTGGGCATAAATGTTTTAATGACAGAGATTGCAGGGACAATAAATGAATAAACAGAGAAGTTACCCATATGTTATTTGAAAGGCTCTTATTTCTAATTTAATGATGAAGATGAGTTGGAAGTAAATTGCTATACAAAGATAAACTAGCCTGATTTTAATTAATGTTAAATTCATTCAATAATTGTTATGTTAGTAACTGGTAAAATAGATTTAACTGAAAATAAAATTATAATAGAGTGATAGTTTGTGGTAGCATTCTTAATAAAAAAGTTTATAATAATTCTAAATATTTCTATACCTACATAGAGGTTCAAAATGCAGAAAAAAATCCATTTCAGTTTTAAGAAGTTCAGATTTATCGTTGAAGTTGTCAATATTTCCATCTTAGAAACTGATACTAAACGATACAGAATTAAGAAAGGCACATTATAACTGTACTGACTAGTAGAACTCCACTGAAATATGAAAAATATTCCACTCAACAACAATTGAGTATACACTTTTTAAGTATTAAGTTACAAAGAAAAGACATGTACTATGCAATAAAAGTGCCTTTGAAATTTAACCAAATTAAACATAGCATATATATTCTTTGTCTATAAAGAAACAAATTAGATATCAGAACCAGAGGATAACAGGAAAAAGCCGAATAGAATTTAATGCTTTCCAGCTTATCAGAGGCCAATGTTATACAGATACCCAAACAAGACAGAATGGGCAAGTACAAAATGGGCAAGTATTGAACCTTTTATGAGTTCAGACACATGTATCTTCAACAAAATGCTAACAATTTTCCCCAGAAATTTGATGCTGGATTAACACTGCAAAATCCATCACTCCATGTAATCTACCACATCAGTAAGGCACAGGAGAAAATCATGTCATAGCAATTCATACAGATTCTAACAATTTATACAAATTCTAACAAAACCTAATGCAGTTCATGACAAAAAAGATCAAATTACAAATGGAGGGTCTCTAAAATGATACGATAAAATGACAAACAACCCTGAGTAAGATAAATTAAGTTGGTCTAGGAGGAGCCAGAGATGGGTCAGAACATTGCCTCAAAAAAAAAATCTATATTCAGTATTAACAGTAATGTACAAAATTAAAAATATACATGGTCACTGGAACTGATAGAGAACATAAATTTAAAACAAACAAACAAATAAACAAACCTCCCAGCTAATGTATTTCATAGTGAAAGACTGGAAGCTTTTCCTGGAAACTTTGGAAACAAAGCAAGGATGTCCTTCTTCATCATTTATAGTCAACATATTTGCTTCTACATAGTCAGAAACAAACAAACAAAAAACATAAAAAAATAGAAAAGAGGAAATAAATAACACTATATCTGTTCATAGGAAATCTACTCCAAATTCACAAGGTAAGTGTGCTTAGCATGACCACAGGATCTAAGAAAAGAACAAACAAATCAACTGGATGTTTATTTCACAACAATGAGCACAAAGGGCATTTAAACACACTATCATTTACCATATACTCAAAGCAAATGACATACTGAGGTCTAAATCCAACAGTGCATCTATGAGGCTATTGTTCTGGAAAGTATAAATTGCTGATGAAAGAAACAGAAAAAATAATCTAAATAAATTTTCAGAGACAGTATGATTATGAATTTAAAGCCTGCATGGAATGAAGATGATGGCTCTTTCTCCATAAAAATCTGCAAAGCATGTCTTATAGATATAGACTAGCCTTTTTCAAAATGCTTATGTAAGGCACAGGACATAGCATTGCTAAAACCATAATGAAAAAGCAGCCCGGAGTAAAAGAAATGAGTTTTTATATACTGTCCTATAAAATATGATATTAGTAGGAAGAAAGGCACAAAGAAATAAAATAGACTGTACACCCCCCCCAAAAAAAAAACAACTCAGGAATACCTTCAACTGACTATTAGTATTTATTATTATTATTATTGTTATTATTATTATTTACTATTATTTATTGAGATAAAGTCTCATGTAGCTGAGACTGACCTGGAGCTTACTATGGAACCACAAATCAGCTTGGCCTTGTGGTCCTACTTTCTTCATCCCTTAAATGCTACAGGCACTAATATACCCAGTATATACAGTGCGGGGATTGGCCCTGGATCTGGGACATTAAAGTCAGGCACTCTATCTGTTGCAAAGCAGGCCAAACTTCACTGATTTTTGAGAAAGTACATAAGGCAGTTGCTAACTACTCCCTGCCATGTTTCTGAGGTGGAATCCATCTCAGTGAAGAAGTGCCAGAATGTGGAGCTTAGGAGAAATGTTTGGGTTGTGTGTCATATTCCTTGTGAATGGATCATCTGCCTGTTCTCAGAATGACAGCTCTCAGGAGAGACCATGCCTTTTAGTATGTACTTTTCCTCTTCTATTTTCCCATATGACTAAGCAGCACAAGCACATCACTGGAGACATCTTTTTGGACTTTCCATTCTATCCAACCAGAACCCCCAACAAAATCCTTTTCTTTATAAATGACACAGCCTGGAGTATTTTGCCTCAGAGAAGAAAACAGACTGTATTGAAAATGTACTTATTTTAAACGTGTGGTACTGGATCATCTGGGTTGAATGCAAAAGGAAAATCGTTTTGGGGATCATTAAAGTTTTATCTTACTGTTACCCATGCACAAGGCATAATCAATGCCTGCTAAAATTAAAGGTAACTAATGCATTGCTGCACTGAATTTTGCAGATCGGTATTAATTATTTTTTATTGCTAATGAATAGTATTTAATTTATAACATTTTCAACTTCAAAAAATTTTAAAAATTTATTTCTTTTAACTTTTTACTTATTCTTTGTGAGTTTCACATATTGTACCTCAGTCCCACTCATCTCCCTGTCCCCTCAAATCCACTCTTCACTCTACAGTCTACCCCTTTGTCCACACATCTTTACTTCCAAACGTTCATTGAAGTGAATCACTGGTCTGGTTCCAGGCTTCTGTGACACCATCAATATTGGATCCTCACCATGACTCTTGTTGCCCTGTGTCTGGAGGTCCTGCAGCTTTGGATCAGCAGTACTGTCCAGTTCGTGATTCCCAACCATTTGCAGATGATATATATTTTGGGGTAGGCCAAGTTAGAGCCCTGTATCTATCTGGATCTGAGAGGTGGCTGAGCTGTTCAGTACTCAGGCTTTCCCTTGTCCACACCACCAGGGTGAGCTCTCCAGAGCTTTGCTGGCATGGCCACCCAATGCTGCCATAAGCAGGTGACAGGGTCATCTCTCCTGCTCCCATGCCCTTAGTGATGCCTCAACTAGATCCATGCTTCCAGAACCACTTTCCCTGTGCAGTTCCGTCAAGGTATGGGACCAACTTTCCCAAGCGCTGCAGCCTACACAGGTCTGAGTCAGCTCTTCCTACTTTCACACCCTTGGGGCTGGATCACCCATGCATTCACCATCAGTGCCAGCTCCACTGTGCTGTCCATGCAAGATGCAGGGTCTGCTCTTCTGAGTCCTGCAGTCAGCGAAGGACACGGGAAGCTTTCCCGACTGCTAGAACCAGCTTTTCCATTCTCACACCTTCTGGACTGGCTCACCCATGCCCCTCCACCAGCGCTAGGTCTACTGTATTCCTTGGGCAAGACTCAGGACCAGTCTGCTCTCTGAGGGTTGCCACCAATGAGAAGTGGGGCCAGCTATCCAGTGTACAGTTGTCAGTGACAGTCAGGGCCAGTTCTGCACAGACCCTGGACATCCATGCAGTCCTCAGCAGCTGCTCCAATTAGGGATGTCCTTATGTTCTCTAGTGGTAATATGAGTCACAGACATCAACACTGAGCCAGGCATGGCCCCGAGCAGCAGCTCAGGCTGGGACCTCACCATGCTCCTAGGTGGTGGGGTTTGCTACTCATAACAGGATACTCCTTCTCACTCTCAAGACTCTAGTTCCATCTCTTCATAAAATGCTCAAGGTGCTCCACATCTTTTTCTCTCCCACCTATCCAATACATACTTACACACTGTGGTGGCTCCCACTGAAGGCTCACCATTCAGTTGGCAGGCCTCTAGGTGACATCCTCTGAACTGTACTGAGGTATGGGGCAAGTGGGTATCTACAGCCTGGATGTGTTAAACACCTGAGCATAGGTATGTTGGTGGCATGGCTGTCTGAATGTCTCTGTCATCCTCCCTTGATGGTGGGCGAGGCTCTGTCTGTCCATGGCCTTCCTGTGCCATGGTGTGGAGGGTAGGTCTGTGAGCATCTTTCCCTTGTCACACAGAGGTCTCTGTCTTCATCCTCCAATGTTGTGCTGCCTAGATTTGGTTCAATTTGATTTTTATGTGTTGTAGGCATAAAACAGCTTTGGCTGCCAAGGCAGGCATCAAGCTAGTATAAACAAAAGACTGCCATCTGCTCTGTCCCTGACTGATATAAGAATACCACCACCATCAAGGTATCTCTTTGCCCATTGCCAGGGGTGAAACTTAAAAATCTTAGAGGTGTTATCAGTTGGAGTTGGGCTCCTAGTAATCTGTCAACCTTTACGTTGAGTCAGAGAACATGGGATGATTTGGAAGAAGGGAAGGGGAGAGAGTAATGTAATTATGTTTCAACCTAAGATATTTTAAATTAAAAATTAAAAAATCCCTAAGGAATTTTGTTGTACTGTGGCCTAATATTTTACCTATGGAAGCCAGCTATTTGGTTAGAGACTTTTTTTCTATAAATTTGTTGACCTACAATAAAATCACATGTCTTCTTTGTTTCTCAGTGTGCAACCAAGTTGCTCTGTGGGTGTTGATCTTTTAAATGCTCTGGGAAAGTCTTATTTATTTTTTTCTTTGTTCATTTGTTTTAGTGAAATCCATTAAGTAAACTAAGCCCAATTTTCTAATCATGGTGACTTTCTTTTGTTCTGCTTGTCCAATTGTATCACATAGACAGTAGGAGTATCTGTAAGCCAAATAGTGACATTAAGGAAAAATGCCACACATGAAGTAGCATGAAAGTTAATAATTCTTGAACAAGGTACAAAAATTCAAGAACAGTGAAGAGGTTTGCTTTAGTCATACTTAGAAACTCTGATGATCCCCACACTGCTGTTCAGTGTGAAAACTGAGGCTTATTCAATACATTTTTCGCAGTTCATAAAAATAGTTGATGTGTACCTTTTCTGGAAAAAATACTAGAAGAACACAGGGAAACATTTCAAAGAAATCATAAGAATGTATCTTTTAAAGAGTCACCATAGTGTTGGTTTGAATAATAAAAAAATAGTATAAATTTGATTATTTGTAAGTGAACGTAGTCTTGTGTAAATTAATTTTTAAGGGTAGGCACAAACCTTTGTGTCCTACAAACCCACTGTTTATCTAAACTGTAGAGTCTCCATTTGTTTGGGTAGCAGCCAACCTACAGTTGACGCCACTAAGAGGCATCATTTAGCATTATGTTGCCAGACTAAATTACTTCAAGAATAATTTAATGTGAAGGGTATTACAAGTCCCATGACTAATGGATTATATTAGGGAAAAATAACATGCATTGATGAATGATTGCAAAAATATAAATGTGAAAATATTATATTATAAGCATGTTTTAATAAGAAAAATATGGAATAATGCAATGCATGAGGGTTTACTCATAATAATATAAAGCCCATAAAGTCATGAATAGAGTAACATAAAAACTGTAGGAGAGTTTAGAGTGACTTCAGTGGAAAGTCACTAGCTATTTTATAACACTATATCCAATTGGCTGAAGTTTACTTGAAGCTTTAACCATGTAGTTTCTGTGTCTGGTGGAAAATTCTATTGCCATGGGAATGGTAAATAATAAAGAGCTAAATTTAGATGTGCACATTTGGAATGGTTAGAATATGTTTGGCCCAGGGAGTGGCACGATTTGGAGGTGAGGCCTTGTTGGACATCAGTGGGAGGAGCAGCCCTTGGTCCTGTGGGGGTTCAATGCCCCAGTGCAAATGCCAGGGCGGGAAAGCAGGAATGAGTGCGTGGGTGAAGGAGCACCCTTATAAAGGCAGGGGATGGAGGATGCGATAGGGGGTTTCTGAGGGGGAGACCCGGAAAGGGAATAGCATTTGAAATGTAAATAAATAAAGTATCCAACAAAAGAAAAAAAGAAGACCCTCATTCTAACTGCCTGGAAGCTAATCTTCTCCTAGTGACCTTTGGATGACCTCTCAGCTCCTCCAGCCCCATATCTACCTAGATGTTGCCACGCTCCCACCTTGATAATAATGGACTCTGAACCTATAAATCAGCCCCAGGTAAATGTTGTCCTTTATAAGAATTGCTTGGTCATGGTGTCTATCCACAGAAATAAAATCGTAACCAAGACAACATTTGAGTAATTTGTATCTTAGTTGAGCGTTATATGTGAATATTGAAATACTTTTGCTCCTGAGACTTTTTGAAATCCCTCAGTTTCCCAGGCACTCTGTCTTGTATTGTATTGTCTTCTCCTTATTGCTTGAATGCCCACTACCTCAATCATCTTAGACTGATCTAAGGTCTCCATAGTATTCCTTGCTCCAATCAGTGTGCAGAACGTCCCACTCCTGTACTTAATGTACCTGCCTTTCACGTCTGCAGTGAGCTGTGTAGACTGTTCCAATATACTAAGAACCGGAACATAGCAACTCTGTGAATACTCATAGAATAACTCAAGTTTGAAATCTCTGCTTGAGAATGTTGCTGAGCCTGCTTATTGTTTTCACAGAGCCTAGGAAATGTTTTCAGCCTTGTCAATATGATTGAAGGTAGAAAAATAAAACTAACTCCTACTGAAAATGCCCTGCTATGTTCTAGGACAGGAGAAAGATTCTCAACCAATACTAGCAGAGAGAATTTAAACATTAGTTTTGAACAGTTTTTGAAAAATGGATATTGAGCAATAATATAATTATAGTGAATTAATTCATTTACTTTATCTTCTCCTTGATTCTGTTTTTATAGTCTAATCTATAAAGATCCCTTCCAAGTTTAAAGATAAAACATTATTAGGCTACAAGATTCAAATTAATAAAGTGTCTTTTGGAAATTATTTATTTCTAATAACATAAGAAATTTATTTCACTTATGCAAAATCCTGGATGTAGTATATAATACATATGTGTTTGTTAAAGTACTAATATGTAGTTGTCAGAAGATGTAAAAATCAGAACAATCAAGAGAATGATAATAATAATGACCTCGAACCCTCTCACATATATTCTGTTAAACACAGGCAAAATTTCAAGTTGTTTTTTGTTGTTGCTGTGTTGTTGTTGTTATACAAGTTTGTGATCTGTGTCAGATTTTAAATTCCTAAAGAATTTGGATCATATTTTTCATTCTTTTGTCAACTCAAGAATTTCGATTGCATTGATAAAATGAAGCCATTGGCCCAAAGTAAGTCACTAAAATAGACAGCCCTAATCTGATGACTTTTCAATCTAGCTATATTCTTTCCAGTATCTTGATCAGTGGCACAAGGGAACCCACAGACATAGAATTATGGTGTCTTCTTGTATGTATCATGAAACCCTAGAAATAAGCAACCTGTGTAGCTCAGGAGCCATGGTTGGTGTAATTTGGAGGGGGGCTTGGTTAGCAGAGCTCTCTGATGAAGACACTGACTTAATACCTCCTAGTCTAGTCATAGCTATGTGTGACAAACAAAGTTAGTGAGGCACTTTTGAATTCTCATGTCTTTATGCTAATGTTTAATACTACAGATAGGATAGGAGAATGCTATAGGGTTGTATCAACAGCAAATATTTATAGTTACAGAATTAACAAGAATAGAAGAAAATTCTTTTTGTTCTTTTACCTTCCACAAGTTAGTGTTTTTTAAAATCTGTTGATACTGTGTCTCCATAAAGATGAATCAAAAAAAAATTTTGGCCTAACTAAGACAAAGGTAAACTTTAAGCAATTACTATTTTTTTCTCTTAGATGCATAAATGAATACCCCTTTAAAAGAACTCCAAGATATATAGTTCCTCGTATCTCTGCCATAGAATTGCATCCTTAGCCCCAATGACCACTTTAGTACCATCTTTGGATTTTCATGAAGAATGAGAATTTATAGAAGTCTAAACAATGGCTTCATAGAGGAGTCAGATCCCACTGGCTTCAGAGCAATGGTAGCCATATGTTCCTCCTAGAAATATGTTGGGTGGCAGTTGATTGAAAATGGAAAAACAGGATAAATATATAAACTCACTACTTGTAACAAATGTCACACATGGTTTCCAAATGGATTTTTCATAGACCATGAAATTATATGAAAGCTGCTTCCAAATTGATTGAAATTATTATTTGAGCTCACATGCCAGCTCAACAGATTATCGTCAGAAAAATAATTAGTTTGTATTTTAATTCTTTACTTTTTTTGGAACTGATAATTGTGGTTCAGGGTTTTAACAAATGAGACTGCAGAATGAAAACAAAAGTAACAACTTTCTTAATAACTGTTATTTCTCTTAAAAGAGACAAAGTCATCTCTCCGTGGCCCAGTCCATTTGCAACTATAATGTCTTCATGTAAAATAATTAAAAGCAAGTAAATACCAGTAGCAACGTTATTTATTAAGTCACTGAAAACATATACTATCAGAATGATCCTTCCAAAGTTGTTCAATTATATACTGATTAAAAAATCAATTTTTGTGTCAATAGTGAGGACTGTTGGGGATTTGATTGTTGCCACCTTATGTTTTTGTTCTATTTGTGCACATATGTGTAAGATGGTAGTGTTGGGATGGGGAGATAACTGGTTAATATCATGAGCTAGTCTGATAATACAGCTATCTGGTTTGCAGGGTGAGCTAAGTGGCAGCTTTGGGCTTCTCCTTGGGAGAAGACAGGTTCAAGGTGGAAAGGCCAAAAGAAGAAATCAGAAATTCTCTCCCTACTGTTAAAATTGGAAGATATTAGTAGGGGTTATTCTTTGTGCTTATTCAAAGATAATGTGTAGCCATACAGATGGTCACTTTGTTATGACTATGGATTTTTCAATTTTTTTTAAATTTAATACTTAAACTAACACTTAAACCAACATCACAAATGGGGCATGCAATTTATATTTACCAGAAATCTCTTAGTACATTACTTCACGGTTTTATGCATGAATGGTATTTTATAGGTTTCAGAATATGTTGAAGTCGTTTAGAAGATGTCTTCATTTTCTCTTCCTTAGAGTTAATATGTTTTCTTCATGAAATTTACCTTGTATTATCTTCTTCCTAACCTTCATTCCAATTTATTGCCTATCTTTATGCATATTCTTACTTAAATGTTTCTTACGAAAATATCCTAGAAGGAAAACCATATACACATCCTTAAAAAGCTAATCTTTTTCTCCTTATAGGACAGGTAGGGAGGAGGGATGGGTTAATGAGGGGAGTCCATGGGGACTAGGTTACTATTTGCATTTCAATGTTTTTCTCTTATCTGCATAGGATTTCTGGTATTATCTT